CGGCCGGCGCGGCGGTGGACGGCATTGGCCGCGCGGGCGGGCTGCGAGGAGGCCGCAGCGGCGCAGGCCAGCAGCAATGCCAGGCTCCCAGCGCTCAGAAATGACTTGGACATAGCTTCTGCACGCAAGGGCAGGGGTTGAGAGTCACGGTTTCAGGGTGCCGGCTCCCTGCGCAAGTGATGAAGAGCTGCCGCCGAGCAGTTTCGCCTGGCCAGTGGCAGGGCGCGGATGCAAAAAGGCTGAGTCGAACTGTTGGACAGAAAAAAAGATATTCTCATGATTATCAGCACGCTCGCGATCGCGCGGGCGCACCCTCGGCTTTGCGCAGAGCTCTGGCTCACTGGCTGTTGCGCGCGAGCAAAGTCGAAGGACTCGTGAAAGCACTGTGAATGTAGATTTGGACAAAAATCCGCGCTAATACCACCTCAGATGCTCAGTCGGACGCCCCTGCTCAGACTGCAAGATGACTTGCCTCACCGTGCGCCACATCCGCATCTCTCATTCTTTGGCTCTGGCGTGGAGCAATGATGATCTTTTGAGAGCAGATAAAGCCAGCAACACCATTGGATCATTGCTTCAGCTGAGATGTAAATCAACGATGTATGGCCACCACCCCTCGCAAGCCCTGATCACAGGCGCCAAGAAACGTGACACCCCAAGCTTGGACAGAGCCAGGGCACTATTACATAGCGCCTTCAAAGGGCACAGAGCACACGCCAAAGTAGCGTGACTGGAGACATATCAACCCTGGTAAGCCCTGAGCCCTGACAGCGATCCCGACCCATGCGTACGTGCGTCAGAGTAACCTTGAGACTAATGGTTGTGCTCAGTTTTTGCTTGGGTGCGTTGCGGGAACAGGGGTCAGTTGCGATCGGGATCTGAGCGCATAGTCAATGAGCACCCAGGTTCTCTTGCGGCAGCCTGCTTGTGTGCCCGGGGCGCAAAGGAGCTTCACCATGGCCGCCGCGACAGAGTTGTGCAGAGCACCACAGCGGCTGTCGGCCGCAGGGGCAGAAGGCCGCAAGCGCATGTGGGTACTTAATGCGTGAAGCGGCGATGGTAAGGTCAAGGTCCAGGCAAACACTAGGCGGCCCGGCATTGAATATGTGTTCTGTTCGAATGAGGACAGCACGAGCGGCAGCAGGGGCGGGCCCCGGTGCTGTGCAGCGGTGGCCGCCGTTGGGCAGGTCAAAATTCCCGGGGTGCCGAAAAAACCTGCATTGCGCCGCTGTTGCCGCGTTTATGGGATTGAGGCCGAGCCGAAGAAGGCGCACTCAAGGAAGGACAATGCAGTGGCCGTCAAGAAGGTCGATCCTCAGGTTCATGCCGGGGCACCGACCCGCGAGGTGAGGCGGGTGGACGTATGCGCACGCACGCTCTTACAGGGCGCAAGCATCGCTGGAGCTTTGGCGCCATCCAACGATGTTGCACTGGGTGATGCAACTTGCAGATCTTGACAGTTCCAGCACCAATCAGCGCCTCCCGTAGCCAAGCAAGCCGACGGCCTGCTTGCTGCTCAGGCTGCCGACGTGGCCGCTGCCACTGCCGCTGCCGCTGCCGCTGCCGCCCGGCCGCGCCCCCGCCGCGCCGCCGCTGTTGCTGCTGCCGTCGCCCCCGCCGCCCAACCCCAGCCTGAGCGCGCCCTCCAACCGTCCCGCCAGGCCCGCTCCAGCTGAGGCGGCCCCGCCACCGCCGCCACCGTTGCTGCCGCTGCTGCCCACAACACCACCGCCGCTCGAGCTGCCGCCGCCGTTGGCACCATGGTGGGCTGCGGACGGAGCCTGGTGGGCGATATGCAGCACCATGGCTGTGCAGTCATCAATGATATCTTGCTCCTCCTGCTGCCACCGCCTGGGGTTTGGGAGCATTCGGGAAGATAGGTGGCTCTGAGCGGCAGCAAGCAGGCGAGCCGGGAGGGCTGGGTCGCGCCGAGCGCCAGAGACCCGGTGCGTCCCCCCCGCCAGAGGCGGGCGTGGCCCCAAACCACGGCTCAAAGTGCAGCAGCGACCATTAATGCGCAGGGGCCAATGACGTTTTGCCGCGGGGTGCGGCGTCCCTGCTGACGCCATGATTTCTGCTGTCACGCATCGCACCTGCGCGCCTCCCTGACCAGCTGCTTCGCCGCCTCGTTCGGGCCGTGGCCCTGTAATTGAAACATAGCGTGGGAGGGCGCGCGATATGGCAATATGTAGATGGTGGCAAGCACAGGGAGCTGCAGAAAAGTCCCCAATGGTCTCATTCTAGTCTTGATTGCTGTTCCGATTCCTTCTCAGCCCTTGTCGTCTCCTCTGCTTCCCCGTGGGCAAGCACCACGCCTCCCCTTGTGTACAATGATCCCACCCCTGCCCCTCAGCCCCACTGCACATGCCCTTCAACCACCCCCCAAAACGCACCTGCTGCGCCAGGGTGTGCACCATGGCCACCACTTCCTGGCTGTCCATGAACTCGAATATGCCGTCACTCATCAGCACCACGTACCTAGGATGACGTCACCGGTCGGCAACGCGTAAGCATCGGGGTTCGCCCACAGTGGGTCAGGGCGGGGGTTAGATACCAAATCTGGACCCGGGGTGTGTAACACTGCACGACAACCTGACGAGGGATGCCGAGTGCGTCCAAGCGTCGCCCCTCCTAGCACACTGCGGCGCTGATGCCTCTCTGCAAAACGAGCAAAGCAGACCCGCTCGCCTGTCCTCGGGCTTGAGGGGGTAGGTCACGACGTCGGGGCTGTCTATCACGCCGACCGTGGCCGCGACCGCGTCCCCGAACGACCGCGTCATGCACAGTCCGGGGACGTTCAGGTCGCGCAGCCACACGCGGGGCGGGCCGAGGGGCTCGTCGTTGAACATGTAGGAGGCGATGCGGCCCTGCGGTCAGAGATCAGGCAACAATGGTTGGCGACCGTGGGGGCGTGGCAGGCTTGGGTTCGTATGGCGCTGGCAGGTGCTTGGTGTGAGCGTGACGCAGTTGGTTGGTACAAGCAAGCCGCCTGATGCGAACCAGAGCGCGGCCGGCGCGCGACGACTGCAGGGGACGGGTCGCCGGGAGGGTGGGTACGCCTTCAAGGCATGATTTGTCGAGCGTTGGTGCAGTGAGCGGCGACGCCTCACCCCGCTGGCGAGTACGCGGTCCGCCTCCGCTTGGTCCATGGGCGTGTGGTCGGAGCTGAGGGGCACCGCCGCCACCCTGCCGCTGCGCACCTCCACACAGCCTGCGTGTGGCACAGTGTGCATGGTATGCACGGCGTGCATGGATAGAATCGTGAGGGGCCCGCGCCACCGCCCGCACCAGCCGCGCCGCTCGACCCTCACGACCATTACTGGACCCGGTGCGCCCTCTAGGCGGGCGGCGCGCAGGCCGGCAGCTCACCTGCGACGCAGCGCGAGTCCCCGAGGTTTGCCACCACCAGCTTGTTGCCCGCCGTCACCACCGCCGCGATGCCCGTGCTGCCGCTGAGGTCGCAGTCCACCGCCGCCAGCCGCCGCAGGCTGCGGTTGGCCTCCACAAAGGACGCGGACAGGCAGGACTCGAGGGTGGGCGGCTACATGCGTGGGCGTGTGTGGGGTGCGATGTGGCGTTCAGCGGGGAATGCTGGCGGAGGTGCGCGTGGTGATCAAAGTCAGGTGGGGCGAAACGGCGCACGCCACGATGCGAATGACGGCGGCTCAGGCCTGCTGGGCAGAGCACACTCGCATGTGTGCACTTCAGCACTCCCCCGCGCGCCGCCTGCCGCGCGGACCTTGCAGAGGGCGCTGCGCGCCAGCAGCCGCGGCACGGCCGTGCAGACGTGGTTCGACACCGCCCTGCCCTCCTGGCCGTGGCCGTCAAAGACACCGAAAAATGCCATGTCCTGCGCCGCGCTGACGCGCTCCTTGACCACCCAAGCGTCCTGCGGGCGGGCCGCGGGTCGGGAGGGCGGCTGGTGGGAGGAACCGTCGCGCGCAGAGGGGCGAGCAGCAGCAGGAGCCCGCCGCAGCCACGCTTCGACCGGCGCTGCACGTGCACGTGCACACTTTGCAGGGTGATTGCAACAGCAGCATCAGCATCATCATCATGATCATCATCATCATCATCATCAGCAGCAGCAGCCGCAGCAGCAGCAGCAGTGCTGCTGCTGCTGCTGCTGCCGCAGGGCCTGCGGCTGCCAGCCGCACGGTCTGCAGACCACCCCAAGCCTGCACCTGGTTTTCCTTGGTGTTGCCCCCTGGGTCCGCCCCTGGCGCGGTGTGCACTGAGTAAGTGATCCGCATGCCGCCGACCTGCAATTGGGGGAAACGCGTGTGCGGGCTTGCAGGCTGCTGCGGGAGCTGTCCCCCAGATGCCAGCGCGCTTCATGGGCGCAATCAATCAGTGGGTGCTGCCATTGACGACCTGCTGTCATGCTCTGTTCCCGCGCTTCGATACCCATTTCGGCATGCCCCGCCCCGCTGCCGTGCACGGAATTTTATTGGGTGGAGCAGAGGGCCGCCGGCCGCTGCGCCGATATCCTCTGAAACAACAGGAAGTGCGCCCACTGGTGATCCACGCAGTCTGCCTCATGTCCCCCACATCCCGCTGTCTCGCTCCACACGTGCGGCGAAGCGCTGCTGCAGATTGCAGGCGCGCTTGCGCTGTGCGCTTCTCACCGTCACGGTCCTGTTGGCTTCGAGCCCTCCACCAAAGCAGCTGATTACACTGACCAGGTCTGCATGTGCGTATATCATAATTGCACGCTTAGCACCTTGACGGTTTCACCCATGGCGCGAGCCTATTCGCTCACTTGCGGCTCCGTCAGTTAGATATATAGTTTAGCTCACCATCAGTGATATTAGCGCTGCTACTTCCAATTCCGAGGCCAGTGCTGACCGGGCCCTGGTGGTGGTGCTCCTTGGGCGCATGCACCGTTTCCGCCGTGTCCGTAAGTCGCCGTGCGCGACCTACAATTCTTGTGTGCATTGCGCTGGGCGCGCAGGGCTGCCGCGGCCAAGTATACCACGAGGGAGGAAGGCGCGTTAATGGAAGAATGCACTTCGATCGTTGAACAACCCTTATGGAAGAGTGAGATTGAACACGCGTATTCTACAGTGCTGGCAGGCCAGGCGTTCGTCCATTCTTTGCTGTGTCACGCACACTGCGCCGCTGCACCCAGTGAGCTCCCCCGCAAAAGCACAGTCGTGGCGGGCACAGCGTGGCGGACTCTTTGAAGGCGCCCGCAGTGTTTGCTCGCCTGCCATGTAGCATCACGCGCAGTGGTTTGCCTGGCAGCCCCGAGCACGTCACCAGAGGCACCGGTTGCAAGCGCAGGTCACCGCTGTCAGCAACCGCGCGTGCAACATCACCTGGACAAGATGTGCTTGCACGCTTGCCTCGGGCTCACAGCCACTTCTTCCAAGTTTGTTACAGTGCCATGTGGGCTGGCAATGCCAGCTCGCCGTGACCTCGCTGGTTCACGCCAGCCCTGTTCATGGGGCATCGTGAATCAGCAGGTACTAGCATACGTCCACGGCGTGCTCGTTTTGGACATGTTAAGCCATCATGCCAACAAGAATCCGCGCCCTGCCCAGGGCCCGCGCTCAGTGTGTCCCGCGGCGCCCATGCTCAAACGGCTGGTCACCCGGCTGCATGGCCTCGAGCCACCTATGCCAGCAGTGAGAGTCGCGCTGTGCCAGGCCGCGCACCCATGCAACAATAACCTGTGCTGCTGGGGGATTGATGAGGCATGCACGCTCCGCCGCCAGGCTTGTTCTTGCGCCTGCGAAAGACCGGCTGAGCGGCCGGTCTGCTGGCGGATCGCTGACATCAGCATGCTGCCAGAGAGAACCTCACACGTGATCAATGCTATATTTTTTGCAACGTACACGCATAACGTCACCTGGGGACCAGGCACTCCCCCACATCATCATAGGTGTCCCCGTCACCCCGCCTCACACAAAGGCCCGCTTATGTTATTAAATCCCATATCCGAGGGGTGATTCCCGTTGCACAAGGGTTATGTTCGCCGCTGCTCCGATCAAGCTGTCAGCGCGTAGCAACAACTCAAAGTGCTCCAGTGCAAACGCCTCACCCCCGGCTGCTCACCCGGCAGCTATGCGCGCTCTACATGGGAACTCGATGATACAAACACCCTGTATACGAGGCGGCTTTGGCCATGCACCCCGTCGGGCCCCCCCAGCTGTGTGGCGCAGCGCTGCACACCACACAGCAGGAGCACAGTGGCGCCGCCCCGCGCCGCCGCGCGCGGCGGCCGCCCAGCGATCCGCTGCAGCACCAATGGCTCAGCCCAGCGCCGAAGAGGCGCTGTCACATGTGCTGAGGAATGGCACGGGCGTGGCCAGACGCGTGCTGAGCGATCCGGCAATTGAAGGCGACCCCCTCGCTTTTCTCAAAGCGACCGAAGCATACTGGAAGGTGCGACACCCAGGCCCGTCGCCTGGTTACTGGTGCCTCTACCCTTGGCCCTGGTTTAGACCATACCCCACTAGGCAGGAGCAATAGGGGGAGGCCTGCACCGCTTGGTCCGTGCCCATTAGTCGCAGCTGATCTGGTCACATGCTGAGTGGCCGCGCACGCGTCACCAGCAACGGACGCCGCCGCACCTGCTCATCTTCTGCAGGCCCTGCGCCACCAGCAGCACGAACCCCACAAAAAGGGGCCATCTGTGGTGACCTCCAACCCATCCCTCCTGGGCCTGCCGAAGCCGTCGGAGGCCACCAGCAGCGGCGGTGGCGAGCGCCGGGGCGGTTCAGACGGCGACGCATACGACGTCATAGTGTGCGGCGGCACGCTCGGCCTGCTGCCCGCGCTGGCGCTGCAGCAGCGCGGGTGGCGGGTGGCCGTGGTAGAGCGGCGGCTGGCGGAGGGGCGCACCCAGGAGTGGAACAGCAGCAGGGCCGAGATGCAGGTGGGGGGCGGGGTCCTGCGGGCAAAACAAAGGCTCTGCATCGCCGCCTTGGCAGATGCTCTCGTGGTCTGGGGCGCAGCGGCAAGCCCAATGCTTGCGCACATAAACTGCGCGCTGGCGCCCCTGGTTTGCTCCGCTGCAGCAACCAGCACGTACGGGCGCCGGCTGTAATACCATGCTGCCATGATACGCTTTGGCAGGCGTTTGTGGACATGGGGCTTTTGACTGCAGAGGAGCTCGAGGCCGCCATCGTTTCGGAGTACAACCCCGTCAGGTGCTGGCAGCTGCGCGCGCTGCAGCGCGTTCGGCGCTCGCCTTCACTGCTTTGACGCGGCAAGGCGGTGTGACGGAGTGTGCTGCCGCCGCCTCGCTGTGCTGCTGGGCCGCGCCTGCCCAGCCGGCGCAGCCCAGCTTTTCTTTCGCTGCAATCCGCGCCTGAGCCAAGAGGCGCTGTCGTACACGCTTGGCAACGAGATTCCCACCACACTCCTCTTGTCCCCGCGGCGCTTGCGCCTTGCTCGGCTGTTCTCCATAATTGTCGTGCAGGGTGGGCTTCAGTGGCGGCGACGACATCTTCGTGAACGACTGCCTCAATATCGGGGTGCTCCCGCAGTCGCTGCTGCGCTTCGTCCGCACCAGGCGCGTCTGATAAGCATGCGCGTGCAGCTGTTCTTTGGTGATTGCAGTGGGCAGGGGTCGTGGTGTCTCAACACACTGACTAGGACAACAGCGCCGCTGTTGAGTGGTGCACGTATGAAACTATCAGTCACCTTCAGGGGGCCCTTATTGGCTTCCCCTTGTCTCCTGGTTTCCGCCATGCAGCCGGCATGCGCTTGCTCCCGCCCGTTAGTGCATGCGGTTCTTCACACCCACATGCGTTCGAGCTTGTCGGCGCGGCTGTGTGCTCAGTTACACGCCCGCGTTCCTGCACACAAAATTGTGCAGGTTCGAGTCCTTGGGCGGCGTGATCATGGAGCACTCAGAGTTCAAGTCGGCCGCTGTTCACCCAGACGGCGTCGCCGTCACCGTGGCGCCCGCCCGCGGGTCGCCGCTCGGCGTCGGCGACACCAACCGCCCCACCGCGGTGGAGCACCTGCGCGGCGGCAACGGCGGCCGCGGCGGCGGCGTGAACGGGCACGGTGCGAGCCTGAACGGGCTGAACGGCCATGCGGTGGCCCTGAACGGCCTGAATGGCCACGCTGTGAGCCTCAACGGGCTCAATGCGGCCAGCAGCAGCCTCCACGGCTTCAACGGCCACACCCACAGCAACGGCAATGGGCACCTCAACGGGAACGCCCACGCCAATGGCCACGCAAACGGCAACGGCCACGCAAACGGCAACGGCCACGCAAACGGCAACGGCCACGCAAACGGCAGCGGCAACGGGGCGATGCATGCAGGGCCCGCCAAAGGCACGGCCGCGGGCGGCAACGGCGTCGGCAAGCCCGCGGCTTCGCGGCAGCTGCGCGCCCGCCTGGTGCTGGACTGCATGGGCCATTACTCATCCATCGTGAAGCAGATCAGGGGCCGCGCCAAGCCCGAGGGCATGTGTCTGGTGGTCGGCGGCTGCGCGGACGGTGAGTGCGCCGCCGCCGGCCCACGCGCCCTGGTATGTGTACGTATGTGTGCAAGCCGTCCCTCAGCACAGCCTTTACCGGCGCAGCCGACCTGCCTGTGGCCATTGCGCCCCTTGATCAAGTCTGCCCCGCACTCCCATTCGTCCACCAGGCTTCCCTGCCGAGAAGAACACCACTGCAGACCTTTTGTACAGGTGCGGCCGCATGACGGGCGCGGCTGGGCGGCGGGCTGGGGCGCCTGAGCCAGCCCTCTGCTTGGGAACGTGGCAGGGCCAGCTGTCCTGCAGGGCAGGACCCGCACCGACCGGCATGCAGAGACCTGCCCTGCGGGTGACCTGTTATACCCTGGTCGATCCGCCGCCTGCTCCTCCCACCGCACCCACCGTCCCACCTTCCCGCAGCTTCACCGACTCTGCAGCTGACATGCAGCTCTTCTGGGAGGCGTTCCCCGCGGGTGAGCCGCGCCATCTGGGCATCTTCTCGGCCGCACACCTGGCTCCAAACATCTCCTGCCGTCGTGAAACAGCCCTGGCCCAACTCAAGGGCTCGCGGCGTCGCCCGTAGCTAGCCATCAGCTGGGGGGGGGGGTGATGTCGGGCTGTGGGCAAGATCCCCCCTTCCCTGCGGCAGCATGTCCAGCTGTTGCTGCCGCTGACAGCTCACCGCGGCCGTGTGCGGCTGAGACACGCAAGTCTGCTGTCACCAAATATGCTGCCACCGAGCCTGTTGACACCACGCCTGCTGGCCCCACAACTTCTGCAGAGTACGGGAAGCCCTCTGACGGCTCCGCGGCCTCCGGCCTGCGCACCACCTACATGTTCGCCTACACCGACGCTGACCCCTCGCGGCCAGACTTTGAGAAGGTGGGTGGGCGCCGGGGAACGCAGAGAAGCGCTTGCAACCATCAGCAACGTGTGCCACTCCCCGCCTCGGCGGTGCTGTGCACGATGGCGGCGGGGTTTTGAAGCCTCGCCTTTGCTTGTGCCTGGCGTCGGCCCCCTTGCCCTGGTGCCGGCGCCCTCCCTCAGCCCTCCGGCTGTACCGAGCCAACGCCACTGTGCCTCCAGCGGCAGCACCTCGCGGTCCCACGAGCCCCCACCCTTCCCCGCCGCCTGCTGTCGCCTGCCGTCACCCTCCCTCCTCTGCAGCTGCTGGACGCCTACTTCCACCTTCTGCCCTCCTACCAGGGCGTCAGCCTTGACTCCCTCAAGTTCAGGTGAACCTCACTACGGTGCATAGCAGTGACGTTCACCCGCAGGCGCGACACCCCTACTCTGAAATGTTCTCTGAAGGCGCCGCTCTGTCCAAACACGACATGCTGTTCTTTCGCCTCGCACCTGATTGGAATTCGGCTGATTGAGTCCAAGCGCTGAGCCGCCAACACCCCCCCCCCTCGCCCCTGCCACGGCCGCGGCGCTGCACCTCCCAGGCGCGTGCTGTTCGGCGGCTTCCCCTGCTTCAGCGACGGTCCGCTGCGGCCGGGGTTTGACCGCGTGCTGCAGGTCGGGGACGCGGGCGCCAGCCAGAGCCCGCTGTCGTTCGGCGGTGAGCGGCGCCCTGGCACGATCCACTCACACAGCACCCTATTCTCCAGCTTGAGGAGCGGCCTATGTTTTGCTCAGGGCTGAGATTGTGGGGCGCAAGCGGCCTGCAGGTTGGCTCAAAATGCCTTTTTTGGTTATCTTTGAGCCCCAGCGGCTTGATTTCAAGCGCACACGTGCCTTAGTCATGCAGTCTTGTGCGCCACAATCTCCTCACCATGGCATCCGCCCACGCCCCCCCACCTCTCGCCCCCCAAAACTCGCCCGCCAATCAGGCTTTGGCAGCATGGTGCGCCACCTGCCGCGCCTCGCCCGCGCGCTCGACCACGCCCTGTCAGCCGACCGCCTGTCGCGGGGCGACCTCTCCCTGCTGCAGCCCTACCAGCCGTCTCTGTCCGCCTCGTGGCTGTTTCAGAGGGCCATGAGCGTCGGCGTCGGGCAAC